AGTGGAAGGTAGGGTCAGAAGGGGTCGAGCTGGTGGGAGTGGAGGAAGCTCAGGCTCAGCCGAAGAGATAGGGTGGTGACCGCGCGTCGTCTCGCGGCAAATTTAAATTTATAAAATTTTCCTCGACTTACCCTTACTAACTATTAGTAGTGGAGAGCAAGGGTCGATCCCACAGGGAATGTGGTATAAACCGTGATTTTATTATATTAATTAAATAAATACGAAAATGGGGGGTTTTGATTTAGAACAAAATTACTAGCAAAACAAGGAAATAAAATGGAATTAGAAATAAATGATTAAAATGCAAAAAAAGATGAAACCAAAAAAAATAAACAAATAATTTAGAAAATATGAGAATGAAATCGGTTCTAGGTCGGTTTACACCCTTGGTTAACTAGCCCAATTAATGCATTTTAATCTCACTTATCTTCTAAAATTATCGGTCCTAGATAGCAATAAGCTCTGCTACCCGAATTCTCCCTTAATTTTACTTAATTGAAAAAAGCTCTTCAATTAATTCTAACTAGCGAATAACTCGGAATAAGCTCTCCTAATTTAATTCGCTCGTTGTATTAAAATCTAGAAAAATAGACCGATCTAAGCCATAAACACATAAGCTCAGTTTATGTAACTTATGTTGTGTTATCCCTAATAGTGCACGACTATTAGTTGCTACAAACGAAATAAGAACGACGACAATTACACGGATCGAAATCTTAAATCTAGCAATTAACATGCAATCCTCAACTTAGGTGATCAAGCTAAATTAAAAAACACATATTATGACATGTAACTAGAATAACACAATCAATTTTATACGACAAGTAAAACAAAATAAATAACATTAATCGAAAATAGTCACCAAGGGTTCAACGTCCCTAGAACCGAATTGAGTGTTTAGCTACACATAGATAAATGATAAAAATAAAAATATATATTCATCATGTTCTTCAAATAAAATAAAATAAAATAAAATAAAACAAACTCCTTTTATATCACACGGCCAAATTATCTTCAAGCATCAAAATCCTCAAGCTCTCTTTCTCTTCCAGTTCTGTTATCAGGGGGCCAATAACAAAATGTTTTTCTTCCCTCCTTCTCTCTTTTTTCCCCCTATATATAAGATTTGGCTCCTTAATATAATACTTGTGACCTTTACGTGAGTACTCCCCAAATAATTACAAGTTCAACCTAACTCCTCACCAATCAATTCCAAGATTCCACAAGATTTGCAATTATCTTCAATAGTTCAACCACTCACAACTAATAGCACAACCAATCTCAACTACTGCTCCATTATCAAGTGTTGACCATTATTATTCCATCTAATGATCATGATCCATTCCTTTTTTTATACAAATATGTCTCCCATGTTCTTCTTTGTTTTTCCAGCAGTTCTGTTATCCGGGGGGGTGATAACAGACTGTTTTCTTCCTCTTCTCTCCTCCATTTGTATAAATTTTATGGCCCACGGAGTGCATGTGAATAAATGCTTGGACATGCTAGACTTGTGAAAATGGATTGCTGTTGAATCAATACAGAGTTGTACGAGATGCCCCCATACTCTGTTGGTCGGAACTCACGTTCAATATCTCGTCGTTCATAAAAGTGCCCAATAATCTGAAAATAATACACAAAAAATATCATAGCACTCAAATTCATTTAATAAATAAATAAGTCGAAAAACATACAAGTGCGATAAAATTAAGCATATAAAAATACGCTAATAAATATGTAAAATACGCACTTTTTTCGACCAATCAAATATCCCCAAACTTAAACCGTTGCTTGTCCTCAAGCAACTTAGAACTAGAACACAAAGAATGGACAAAACAAACAAATACGTAGAATTTTCGCTCAGGTCCTCACACACCTCACATAAATGCATA